TGGAACCTATAGCAATGTGGACGCCGGCACTCCAGATGCAGTACAAATGCGTCTCTTGGAACCTATAGCAATGTGGACGGCAGCACTCCAGATGCAGTACAAATGCGTCTCTTGGAACCTATAGCAATGTGGACGGCAGCACTCCAGATGCAGTACAAATGCGTCTCTTGGAACCTATAGCAATGTGGACGGCAGCACTCCAGATGCAGTACAAATGAGTCTCTTGGAACCTCCCCCTTTGATCGGGGTGCTTTGTCGTACAGGAGCAGCCACACCGGGTGGATTCATTTACTATACTGGACATTATGGATACCTCATATCGAGACCTCAGCGCCTCTTGCGTTTATATTCTGAATCATTTTTGTTAGCAAGGCCCATCGAAAGCCCATGTGACAGGGTGACAACGCAAGAGCACAAATTGGGAGATGGGGGGCAGCGTTGTCACATTATAACAGGAAGTGCCTGAACGGGGCAGGATCACCAGGGTTGATTTCATTAAAAGCTGCCGATTAAAAAAATCACCAGGAAAATCTTGCGCTCTGATTGGTTCTCTGGAAGAACGGCTCAGCTATCTGCTGCCACCTCCAGGCCAGGGAATGAACTGCAATTTGGCACACAGAGAAGCCATAGTATCCTATGAGAACTGCTCCCTCTGTTTCTATGATGGGGATACATTATTATTATTATTATTACATAGTATTTATATAGCGCCAACAGTTTGCGCAGCACTTTACAATGCGATACATGAAATCTATTTGTCAGGTACAAGGTGGCGGCATTCTAGAAGGGTGCAGCCGCCGGGTAAACACTTCTCTCACGCCGAGAGCTCTCAGTCTGCAATGTCAAGTATTGCCGTCTGCTCCGGGGCCGCTGCCATTGACGGCAACTTCTCCCCAGCCATAGTAACCATGCTACCACCTCTAAACAGGGGAGTCATCATCCTGGTACTCCCATGTGTACATACAAGTCCCCTGCAGCTCCTGGGAGTACCTCTGTTGGTGGTTTTCGATGGCCGTATGTAGCCGCAAGTATTATTTACTGAGATGATTACATATTTTCTGGCCCCTCCGGATATCTCCTGAGCTCAGGATTGGTCCAAAGAGAGGTTGACGTAAGCGAAGCAGTGACATCATTGACCTTATATGGCCACAGGCCTATATTTGGTAAATGACATGCTACGTGGCCATATAAGGTTAATGATGTCATCAGAAGCATCCCGCCCCCTTTGTTTACAATGCCTGTACCGCAGCTGATTGGGTGGACGTGCTCCAGACACTTCCTCGTTCAGTGGAGCTCAGGTTCCCCTGAGCTCTTCCCTAATATGAACTTGAGCTCCTCGGAAGCCAATCAGCTGCGGGCTAGGGCATTCCCTGCCCTACAGCTGCACACAAACAAAGGGGCGGGATGACATCATTGGCCATATTAGGGCAAGGCCACTGACCAAATATAGCCATGTGGTCACATAAGGTCCATGACATCACTGCTCCCTGCCCTTTGCTTATGTGCATCGGCAGGCCCCTCAGCGGAGGGAGCTTCCTCCCATATTCAGAGGAGTTCAGGTGCGGACGGGACCTGGGCTCATCCCGGCTCCTGAGGGGGTTAGGCTGTTGGGCAGTATAGAGTTAATGTAACCTTGCCAGTGATCGCCCTATATCAAGGGTGGGCAACTCTGGCCCTCCAGCTGTTGTGGAACTACAAGTCCCATGAGGCATCGCAAGACTGACAGTTACAGGCATTATTTCCAGAGGCAGAGGCATGTTGGGATTTGTAGCTGGTGGGCCGGAGTTGCCCTCCCCGGCCCTATATGCTGAGTGGGAGATTGGAATACAGCCAATAGGTCAGGAACATATGGAACACCCTGATGGGGTTATCTAAGGGTTAAAGGTTATACATGCTTGGTGGGTATGCACATACTAGACATCTAAAAAGACTTGTACAGCGCAGTGCATGCTGGGACTTGTAGTTTTCCACCTTCAGACGCCCATCTTTCCCCCGCAGTTCCCTGCCTCCCCCAGGATGACACTACCAGGCGCAGAATCCGGAGAGCGGAGTCACGTCATTGAGGAAGGGTGGAGGGAATCTGATGTGCGGATTACAGGACACAGCTGTGTTTATACAACTCGGGCGAGTACGCCCGCCGTCCACTTATCGTCCTCATCCATCACAGCCAAAGCGAGGAACGGCCACGGCGGCCAATCAGAAGCCAGCTGTCGATTCTCATGTCCAAGAAAAAAAACAGTTACTCGTGTGGTCTCCATGCGTCCAGTGTAGAGGACGTGATCGTCAGAGCGGCGGTACCAATCCATCACAATAGCTTCATGTCTGTTTCCCTCGGTGATGACTCCACTATATAGCCCAGACAAGCAGAGGAGAAGGGGGCCAAGGCCATAATGGGCTTTGCCCT